CACCATGGTACCACCATCGCATAATAATTGAAATTCTTTGAAAAGTTATTATTTTATTTTTTTTTTTTGCGTGGAAAATATTGATATTTCAATGCAATCTCTGATTATGTGACTGAATAAGTGGCAAAAATACAATACGCTACTATGGGATTATGTTACCTTAATGTGAATATGACAATGATGTCCATATGTACGAACATACATATGTATCTATCTACATATGTACATAATCCACTTGATGTTGGAATAAATTTCTTTTTCCAATAAAAATAATTTGTTTTTGCTGATTATGATTTTGACAATGAGATTGGAATAGGTTGTTGGTGTTGTTGTTGTTTTCTCTCCTCTCATATCTCGTTTGTTTGTGTAGATTGAATATCACCATGACCTGACTTTGTTGTTGACTGGCTGATGAATTCAGAATGTTGGGAGGTGTTCCCTGGCATAACAAAAGCAAAAAAAAAAAAAAAGAAAAAACAAACACACACACATAGTTACAACATATTCCCAACAAAATAGTATATTTAATTTATTTTTGAAAATAATTTTTTTCAAGCCATAACTATAAGGGACTATTCTCGATTTTTGAGAATATTTTTGGAAGTCTATTCTAGATTTTGAATACTGGTTTATCAGGATTATTTTAACATTGAATTCATGTGAAATTTGAAAAAAAAAAAACTTAGAATCGTTTTCAAAAAAATATAAAGAATAATAGTTGTAGATTTGTTTACAGTATCATATTCAGGGCAAGCATACTTCAGAGTGAGATGAAAAAACGCAAGCAACTGCAAGCAACTTTGCTGTCATCTTAAAGCCACTCGTCCGACTGCTGTTAAAATTATTCCAGTGACAGCTCATTATATTGTTAACAAGCGCACAAAAGAATTTTGACGAGAATTTTTCAGAAAAAAACTTATGCGTGATAGTGTGATTTCTTTATATTTGGCTGGACAACCACTGGCTAGCTATCGCGAATCGCTATCGATAAAAACAAAACTGCAACAAATTCAAACACAATAATTTGTACATTTCTTTTTTAAATTTTATTAAATGAAAGCAAAAAATGTCGGAACATAGCATTAAATTTTAGAATAAGTTTAGTTTTGTTCGTATGGGTCACCTTTGGCACGAATTATGGCCTTCAAACGACCAATGAAACCATCACACTCGGCCCGAATGTTTCTCTGCGGTATTCTGGCACATTCCCGGCGAAACGCTTTACTTGAGGTGATCGACGCTTTTTTATAATGCAAACCTTGCTTTCCAAAATAATTCAAACACAATAGTTCAACGGATTGGTATCCGGAGATTTTGGTGGCCATTGTGCGCTGGAAATGAAGCGAAGAAACTCATTTTGTAGCCATTCTTGGGTGGCGTGTGCTGAGTCCTGTTGGAATGTCCAAGGTCTGCGGCCAAAATGTTTCCGTGACCAAGGCTTTAATACACACTTCAGAATATTTTGGCGATATTATTCGGCGTTTTTATACCCTCCACCGTACTATGGAGGGTATATTAACTTTGTCATTCCGTTTGTAACTCCTCGAAATACTCATGTCAGACCCAACAAAGTATATATATTCTTGATCAGCGTAAAATTCTAAGTCGATTTAGCGTCTGTCCGTCTGTCTGTCTGTCTGTCTGTCAGTCTGTCCGTCTGTCTGTTGTAATCACGCTATCTTTCGAATGAATTGAGATAGATGGCTAAAATTTTGCACACATGTTTATTTTTCCAGTAGGCAGGTTAAGTCCGGGCCATGGGCCATGTAGGTCCACGTTTTCATATAGCCCCCCTATATTCGGTATTTTTATGATTTTAGCGACGTTATTCACCAGAATTGTTTCAATTTTGGTATTTGAAGTTCCAAATGGATACTACACCCTAAGATAGAAAATTGTCTGTGCAGTTCCACGTCCTCCTATAGCCCCCATATAACGGTACCTCCCTATATTCGGTATTTTTATGATTTTAGCGATATTATTCACCGGAATTGTTTCAAAATTGGTATTTGAAGTTCGTTATGGGAACTACAGTCTGTGACAGAAAATTGTCTGTGCGAGTCCAGGTCTTCGTATAGGCCCCAAATATCAGTGCCTCCCTATATTCGTTATTTTGACGATTTTAGGTACAATACCCACCGAAATTGTTTGAGATGTGGTATTTGAAGTTCGTATAGAATGCTACAGCCTGTGACAGAAAATGGTCTATGCTGGTCCAGGTCTTCGCAAAGCTCCAATTTAACGGCACCTCCTTATATACGATATTTTGATGATTTTAGCTACATTATTCACCGTTTATTTCAAGTTTCGAATTTGAATATGGTAATGGCTTATGACAAACAATGCATATGTATGTCCACGTCGTATTGACCCCAATATAACGGCTATATTCGGTATTAATAACATTTTAACAGAATTTTTTACGGATTTTATTTTTTGAAAATTTCTAAATTCGTTGCAAATGGTGGAGGGTATTAAAAGTTCGGCCCGGCCGAAGCTACTGCTTTTTAACTTGTTCCTGATGCCACGGTCGATTAATAAATTAATTAATAAATTAATTTCGCGATAATAAATGGCATTTAATTAATACATGCGGAGAGCGAGCATCGGCTGTTATGGCGGCCCACACCATCACCATTGCCGGCGCTTCAGTTCTGGTGGCCAACCGAAGGTGCACATTTTCAGCTGACCTCTTTGGCAAGTAAACACGATCATTTTGTTTTCTAATTCGCCAGTTCACCGCTTTCGGCCAAGTGAAGTAACTCTATAGCTCTTTTTTGAGTCTATTTTCTTTCGGTTGCGGTGTAAGTTCTTGCACTTTTTGGAATTTCAATGGCTTTACCCCGAGCTCATAAGTTCATATGTAGCGATATGTTCAGCTCACGAGCCATTTTTCGGCCACTGCAATGCGGGTTTCGATCAAGTCGCTTCTTTACTTTTCGAACCATTTCTGCTGATGTTGCTGTTTTCTTCCGTCCACTTTCTTGACGTAGGGTTACGCTACCAGTACAACGCTAACGAGCGACGATACGAGACACAGAAAATTTATTCACATTTAAATGCTGGAGAGCTTTAACGATAGCCACTTGTGGTTTTCCAGCCAAATATAAAGAAATCACGCGTGAATTCCATCACGAATAACTTTTTTTCTGGAAAATTCTCACCAAAGTGCTCTTGTACGCTTGTAAACAATATAATGAGCTGTCACTAGAATAAATTTAACAGCTGTCTGACGAGTGGCTTAGAAATGACAACAGTCTGAAGTTGGCTGCAGTTTTTTCACCTCACGCTGAATATCATTTGATACGGCCAAAATGTGATTCGTCGAAATAACGTTTTTAGACCCGAGGTCTCTTCCGACCAAATCTGTGTCAGGACATGTGGAGTCAATCTAGCGATGTCCGTCGGTCTGGTTGGCTGGAGCGCACGACATCTCTTGAAAGGGGTATCTGTCAAATATCGGTCCACTCCTTCTGCTACATCTCCCACAAAAGGTCGAAATTTTCAAAAAAAAAAAAAACTATTTTTCTGCACAGAAAAAGAAAGGATAATCCGATTTTGAACCAACTTTGCAAATCCTAAAATTTACATCAGTGCGAAAATATTGTCCACTCCCTCAACCAGAAAGGTAAAAAATTTTGAATAATTATAACTTTTTTTAAAATGGTATGTGAGGGGCCGATTGTTTTCCTATTACACTCGTCACATTATTTTGGTTATCCCAAGGTCTGGTGTTAAAAGGGAATATATTGGTTCACTCTTTTTGGAAATTTATAAAAGCCGAAACTTACACCTGATTCCATTCAATATTTCCATCAGCATTACATATGTTATAAAGATGATAGAGGTCGGACCATTTTTTCTGATACACCCCCCCACCCACATAGGGTTCATACACATTTTATAAGAGTTGTAAGTATTCAAAATTTTGACCCTTTGTGTGGAAGGTACTTGATCGAGTGGACCGATATTGTCCATTTTTACACCCGACCTATTACTGACGCAAATTTTATGATTTGCAAAGTTGAAGCAAAATGGCATTGTTCTTTCTTTTTTTTTGTGCAAAAAAAAATATTTTTTGAAAATTCCGACCTTTTTTTGGGGGGGGGGGGGGGGGGGGAGGTACCAGATGGATTGGACCGATAGTGCCCATCTCCGAACTCGATCTTAGTTTGACAAAAATATTACGATGTACTCAGTTTGAACCAAGTCAGATACTTCCTTCGAGAGTTATCGTGCGCAACAGCCAGCCAGATAGACGGACGGACATCGCTAGATCGACTCCAAATGTTCTGAAACGGATTTGGTCCATAGAGACCTAGGGTCTAAATCAGTTATTTCGACTAAGCACGTTTTGACCTATTAAATCAAAGCCATATGGCTAAAGGTATAAAAAACAGGGTTTGGCATTTATTTGTTGGGATATCACACCTATTTTGTGTTTTCAATTAGTCAGGCGTAATCCGTTCTCTGTTTTGTTGTTTTCTATGAAAATGTGTAACACTCTTAAAAAATGTGTTTAAATTCTTTTTAAATCGGTCCAATGGGTCGTTTACATACTGCCGTGATGTATACGTCCTTGACTTTAGTCATGAAATTTAAATATCGAAGAAAAAAATTCATTTCAACTTGTACTTAACCAAAAAAAAAAAAAAATACTTACCAACCTTTTTTCAGATATACATTTTTTTTTGCAAAATGCAATTGAGAACAACTTAATTTAAATACTTTATTTGTAATTTTTTAATTCGATTTTTTTTACATCCATCTGTGGCATTAGTGGCATATTTTCATGCTGTTATTATTGCATCTTTTTTTTTGGCTTTATTAAAAACTTTGACGTTATTCTGCTGAAGGTCTATTTCGATTATTATTATATTGAATTTCATTAATTATCTACTGTACAGAATTTTTTTTTTGGAATCTGTTGTCTATGGCAACCGAACGAACAGCTACTCATTGGTTTTCCCATCTCTTATGTTTTTGTTTTTTGCTTTCAGCATTCCATGCTGTATTTCTTCCATCATTACGAGCTGCCGGTAATTATGCAACAGGCCCAAGTACTCATATTAACACGCAATCAAAATGATGGTGGTGGCGGCGGTGGAGGTGTTGGTGGAAACATTGTTGCCGGAATTATGCAACAGCAACCGCAACAACAGCAGGGACAACAGCCAAACAATCGCCAGGCTGGCGGTGGAGTGGGTGGCCAACAGCAGCAGCAACAACAACAACCACATCAGCAACAACAGCCGGGTACCTTTGTGGCGAATCGAATTTTCCGTTTGGTCCCATTGCCCCAACAAATGCAACAGCAACAACAACAACACCAACTCAATGGTCAAATGCAACCACAACAACTGCCATTTGTTGGCGGTTTGTTACAACACTATGCCGGACAGAATGTTGGCGGTGCCCTTGGCATGATACGGCGGGCCCTGTCGGCCCGTGGCTGGCGCCAGCCACCCATACGGGTGCGCATCCAAACAACAGGTAATTTGCAACGCATCAATTTGGGTTCCATACAAATAAATCCGGAGAATCTGGCGGCACGTGTCCCAGCAACAACGCCAACGACCAACACAACTGTGGTAACAACAACATCATCATCATCGACGTTGTCCTCGTCACAGACAACAGCCAATGATGCCTCATCCACATCATCACAACAAACCACAACCGCAGATCCAGCTGAAAGTGGTACATCGAGCAACAATAGCTGCAGTTCAAATCTGAATGACAACTCAACAAATAGAATTGTTGTAACTGGTTCGGGCTCGGGCGGTAGTGTGTCCTCAGTCCAGCCAGTGAGTTGTGAGAGTTTATCATCAACAGCGTCATCAACCTCATCGTCGACGGCGTCATTAACAACCGCCAATCCAGCGACAGCATTAAAAAATATCCCCAATATTATTGAGGGCACCGGTGCAGTGCAACAAAATGGTAAGTTTAAGTGACGGGTGGGGGAAAGAGTGTTTTTGTTGGAAGCCACAGCTTTTAGAGATATTTAATATTCTAGAAATAGTTAATGGATTTGCAACAGGTTGCATTTCTAGTTTAGTTTTGTGAACACCATTTCACACACTTCGGGTAGATAGTCCCACATTGATAGGAGTCTAGGAGACCCAGTTCCCCAGAACTGCTCAGGCACACCGAGTTTTTTTTATAGAGGGAGAGGGACACCGGAATGTCTTTGGTAGAAGAGGTTTTTAAAATATTCTGCCGATGGGAGGCCAGATTTTATATTATTTTAGACTCGAGAGACTTACCAAAATTAATAAATTTATAGCATACTTTTAGACGCTTCACCAGAATCTTTTAAATGAATAAAAACACTTTATAATATTATGTAACATTATATAATTATAGAATTTCTATGTTTCATTTATGGTATTTTTATACCCTCCACCTTGGAAAGGAGGGTATATTAACTTTGTCATTCCGTTTGTAACATCCTTAAATATTCGTCGTAGACCCCATAAAGTATATATATTCATAATCAGCAAACAATTCTAAGCCGATTTAACGATGTCCGTCTGTCTGTACGTCTGTCTGTTGAAATCACGATACAGCCCACATTATTTGACTTAGAGCGCCAAAATTTAGCAGAGCAATTGGTATTGTGTCTAGGATGGTTGGCATTGAAGATGAGATATATCGGTCCACGTTCTGGTATAGTCCCCATATAACGGTACCTCCCGATATTTGGAATTTTGATGATTTATGCCACATTTTTTCACGGATTTGTCTGAAAATTGGTATTTGTAGGTCATAACGGGTCCCTGTACGTGTGGCAAAACATTGCATGCATAGGTCCACGTTTTGGTATAGCCCCCATATAATAGTACCTCCCGATATTCGATATTTTGATTGTTTTTGCCACATTTTTTTTTTAACGGATTTGTCTAAAAATTGGTATTTGTTGGTCATAATGGGTTCCAGCTCCGGTGGCGAAGCATTGCATGTATGGGTTCATGATTTGGTATAGCCCCCATGTAACGGTACCTCCCGATATTCGGTATTTTGATGGTTTTGCCACATCTTTTTCACTGATTTGTCTAAAAATTGGTATTTGTGAGTCATAATGTGTCCTTGTTCGTGTGGCGAAACATTGTATGTATAGGTCCACGTTTTGGTATAGCCCCCATATAATGGTACCTCCCGATATTCGGTATTTTGATGGTTTTTGCAACATTTATTCACTGATTTGTCTAAAAATTGGTATTTGTGTGTCATAATAGGTCCTTGTTCGTGTGGCGAGTCATTGTAATTATAGGTCTACGTTTTGGTATAGCCCCCATATAACGGTACCTCCCAATATTCGGTATTTTGATGATTTTTGACACATTTTTTCACTGATTTGTCTGAAAATTGGTATTTGTAGGTCATAATGGGTTCTAGCTCCGTTGGCGAAACCTTGCATGTGTAGGTCCTCGATTTGGTATAGCCCCCGATATTCGGCATTTTAATGGTTTCTGCCACATTTCTTCTAATGTTTCCTTTACCCTAAGGTGGAGGGTATTAAAAGATTGGCCCGGCCGAACTTAATGTGTTTTTTTACTTGTTTTATAATTTATTATCAACCGGTTTTGTCGATAGATGAATAGCCCCAGCCTTGAGTTGTGATTATTCAAACTTTTGACCCTTTATGGGGCCTGTAAAGAATCGCCGACTTATTTCGCAAGTTATGACAGATAAAAATGTTGAAAATTGTGACTCTTTGTGGGTTAAGTACCAGAAGTGGTTCGCAGATATATATCATCAGATGTAACAAGTCTGAATGGAAACGGATGTTAATTTTGCGTTTTATGAGCTTCATAATTATTCAAAATTTTGCACCCCTTGTGGGGGAGGTATCAGAAGGAGTGGACTGATATATCCCATCTTCACAGCAGATCTTCAGTTAGTAGAAATAATGGGATGTGTGAAATATAAAGAGAACTGGATGCTTATTTCGGATTTTATAATAGTTTTGGTTATTCAAAACTTTGACTCTTCGTGGGGGAGGTACCAGAAGAAATTGTCCGATCTCTTCCATCTTTATTACAGGTCTTGTGTTGATGGAAATACTGAGATGTTCCAATTCTGAATGGAAACGGATCTTAATTTTGCGTTTCATGAATTTTATGGATATTAAAAATTTTAACCCTTTGTGGGGCAGGAGTGGACCCATCTTCGCACGAAAAAAATTTAATTAATTAAAATATTTGGATGTGTGTAATTTGAAGGCAATTGGACTCTTATATCACATTTTATAAAAGTTTTTTTTTCAAAAATTTGCCCTTGGTGTGGTAGGAACTTGGTGGAGTGGACCGACATTTTCCGTTTTCGCACCTGACCTTGCACTGATGCAAATATTAGGATTTCCAAAGCTGGAGCCAAATTGGATTATAATTTTTTTTTTTTTTTTGGAAATTTTGATCTTTAGTGGGGGAGGTACCAGAAGGAGTGGGCCGACATTAATACTACGATGTACCAAGTTTGGATCAAATCGGATACTCCCTTCGAGAGTTATTGGGCGCACTAGCCAGATGGACACACAGACGGACGGACGAACATCCTTAGATCGACTCCAAATGTCCTGAAACAAATTTGGTAAAAAGAGACCTAGGGTGTAAAATAGTTTTTTCGTTGTGGCACGATTTGGCCGTATCAAATGATATATACCCTCTCTTTAGCTATAGGGCTGAGGGTATGTTAATTTCTTCGAAATGTTTTCACTAGATAGATGGCCTCTAAAAGCTCGTCCTCAGATAGAAGACCTCTTCCTCGTTGTCTTTCATACATAGTTTATCTTTTGATGGTCTTTAATTGTCTTCCCTTTTAAAGATTTTAGGAATCTTCTATAGATATGAGAATATCTGTTGAACCTCTGTACAGTAGTCGTCCCTCTACTTTGTTTTTCATACATGGAATTTCATGGAAGTCCTCTTTGCGACATAGACAACTTTCTAAACCTTGTAGGATGATATATGCCTTACATAGATACAATTTTTTGAAGCTAAGACTACATAAAACGCTTTTTTGACTGGCTTATGTCATTGGCTAGCTATTTCGTAGGATTTTGTTTTAGGAGTTTTAGAATGATTAGGAGGATTCTTATTCACCATACTCTCCTTTGTTCTTTTACGAAGAAGCCAGCCGATGACTGAAGCCAGTCAAAGAAGCGTAGTATGCATTCTCAGCTTGGTTGATTTCCAACTTTGCATTCTAGTTGAAGAACTTGTCAATTCTCAAAGCATACTTTAAGGAGCATTTTTTATTCTCTTAGAATTTAGTTTTATGAATTCTCACCTTGGTTGATTTCCATCTTTGCTTTGTAGTTGAATAACTTGCCATCTCTCAAAGCATATTTTTAGGAGTTTTTTTTTTTATTCTCTTAGAATTTAGTTAAATATCGACCTCTTGGAAATGGTGTAACTACCGGGGATTTATTCTAATTAAGTTTTATTCCATTAGCTATAGCACATTTGGCTTTCATTTACGATTCGTCGTTGCGGGACTACAATTTGAAATTCTAAAGAGTTTTAAGAATTTAGAATTCGCAATTTGACTCCTTCTCACGCACTCTCACTCTCTTTACTTCTTTACAGGTGGTAGCAGTGGTAACAGTGATGATGTGGTTCAGGTTGAGGATTGCGCCAAAAGCGAAACAACATCAGCAACACTCTAGACGTTGGCGAAGTAGCAAAGATGAAATATGATAGGCGATTCAAATAATGCAAGACCACCGTCTAAAGAGGCGCCAAAAGGAAAACAACCAGCAAGCATCACAACACATACAAACAAACTATGTTTTATACAGAAATAAAAAAAATTATCCTTCGATATGATGAAAGTCGAGCAGATGTTTAGTGGAACAAAAAATAACAAATGAAATAAAAATAAGAAAAGAAGAAGAAAAAAAAAATGCTCTAATACGAAAGACTTATTGTAGAAGAAGAAAACTAAAAAAAGAAACAAGAATGGAATGTTTCCATAAAATTTCCAGCTAAACCCCCCCCCCCCCCCCAGAAAAAACGCCGCCAAGCCCTGTTTATTTTTTTAAGTTTTTAATTTATTTTATAGATTCCTTGAAAATGGAATATTACACCCCCCACAATTGGCATTGTATGTATAATTTTTATGTTTTTAATTTTGCTTTATAATATTATAATAAAGAATACCCGTTACAAATGTAATTAACTCGATCTCAAATGACGAGAGAAAAATGGTCACCTATGAAAAAGAGGAAGAACAAGAAGAAAAAAGTTATTGAATTAAATCCATATGTGTTATATTTTCAAAATGTCGTTTTCTTTTTTGTTTTAGTTTTCGGATTAATCTATGGCAGGTAATATGCTTTTGATAAAAAAAAAAAAAAAAATCATGACAGGAACTTTAATTTAAATCAAGATTCAAAATTGTTAAACAAATAAATATAAAAAATGATACTGTATGTGTAGTATTTATATATGTCTGGTCAATGCAGATGAACATCGATTCTACGTAAAAAAAAAACGAAAAACAAAAATAATAAATAAATGAAATAAAAGGAACAACTAAACGGGGTTTTTAATGGAGGTTAGGTAATTTAAATTAAAATAGTTTAGATTTGGAAAACGCATGAAAATGAGATAATTAATTAATTTGTTAACTTTTCAAGTTTGTTCACAAATATTGTTTTTTTAAACTTATGTTGCATTTTAATTACTCATTGTTTCTTCATCTTCATTTACAAGGTGAGATGAAAAAAAAAAAATGCAACAAAGTCAAACGCCATAATTCTAACATTTATTTTTTTTTTTTAATTTTATTGAATGAAAGCAACAAATGTCGGAAATAACATCAAATTTTAGAATAAATTTAGATTTGCCCGAATTAGTCACCTTTGGCACGAATTATGGCCTTCAAACTGCCAATGAATCTGTCACACGCTGCCCGAATGTTGCTCTGCGGTATTTTGGCCCATTTCCGGCGAAGCGCTTGCTTGAGGTAATCGACACTTTGGTATTTTTAGTGCCAACCTTGATTTCCAAAATACTACAGGCACAATAGTCCAATGGATTGGTATCCGGAGATTTTGGTGGTGGAAATGAAGCGATTTGTAATCATTCTTGGTTGGCGCTTGCGATGGTGCAGAGTCCCTATGGAATGTCCAAGGTCTGCGGCCAAAATGTTTGCGTGCCCAAGGCTTTAATACACCCTCCACAATATTTTCGCGATAATATTCGGCATTTATTCGCATGCCACGATCGATTAATACGAGCGGAGAGCGACCATCGGCTGTTATGGCGGCCCACACCATCACCATTACTCCTCCCCAGCATAAGAGAGTGTTTCCCAGTAGCCGATCATCAACACGGATTCCGGAAATTGCATAGCACAACAACAGCTTTACACGCCATTTCCACACATGTCAGTAGAGGTCTCAACCAGAACAGGCCGTGCGATAGAACAGTTATGGTGGCACTTGATTTATCAAAAGCCTTTGATACAGTCAATCATGCCACACTGTTCGAGGACATTGAGCGCACCACCCTCCGGCCAAGTTTGAAACGTTGGATAGTAAACTACATGTGTGGACGCCAGTCGTACGTGGAATTCAGAAACAAGAAGTCGAGCATCCGTAGAGTAAAACAGGGAGTTCCCCAAGGTGGGGTGATATCTCCGGAACTGTTTAAGGCATAGTGATTATAACGTACGCAGATGATTGTACGCTCGTGGCGTCCGGACCCATTATTGATGACATCTGCGATCGGTTAAACGCTTACCTTGTTGATCTTACCGCCTTTTTCACTGCGAGGAATATGAAGATATCCGCCACTAAGTCGACGGCCACACTTTTCACCACATGGACTGCGGAGATGGGGCTATCCTTGAATGTGCAGGTCGATGGTGCTATTACCAACTACCCCAAGGTATTAGGGGTTACATTCGATAGCCTCTTTAAGTCGTCCGCGCATACCACAGCTATCTGCGACAAGATTAGAAGTAGGAACAAGGTCCTCAAGTCTCTGGCCGGCAGTACTTGGAAAGCTGATAAGGAAACCTTGTTGACCTCTTACAACGCGATAGGCCGGTCTGTGGTAAACTATGCGGCTCCAGTGTGGTCCGCCAACGTCAGTGCTACGCAGTGGAAAAATGTTCAGTCCTGCCAGAATGCCGCCCTTAGAACCGCAACAGGGTGCCTTCTCATGACACCTGTCGATCACCTACATGAGGAGGCGAAGGTCTTACCGGTGCGACAGCATAACAAAATGCTGTCAATGCAATACCTGCGTGGGTGTTATAGACAAAGCCATCCAAATCACCATCTTGTGGATAGGCAACCTCCGCCCAGGCACGTTAGGAAAGACCTTCATGATCTAGAGAGAGAGGTACAGAGGTATAAGAGAGAGCCTCTAGATCAACAGGCCTATCAAGCGGGACTGAATAGTATTCACTCTAATGCGGTCTCAGAAGCCATTGAAGGACATAGAGTGAATACTGTGCTAGGAGACCATCCCCCTCCCGTCGCAGCTGAAGAACGAGAGCTGCCCCGACAAACCCGAGTGGTCTTGGCACAATTACGATCCGGATGGTGCAGCCGCCTAAATTCCTACTGGGCCCGGATCAACGGCGACGTGCAGAACATCTGCCCAGCATGTGGCACAGGCCCACATGACACGCTGCACTTATTTCGCTGCCCAGCCAAGCCTACTCACCTAACTCCAGTCTCGTTATGGACACAACCCATACAGGTTGCATCAGATGTATGAGCTGCTACAACAACAACAACCATGGCCGGCGCTTGAGTTCTGGTGGCGAACCGAAGGTGCACATTTTTAGCTGACTTCTTTGGCAAGTAAACACGATCATTTTGTTTGTTTATAAACTGCTTGACAACGAATGTTTTCTCATCGGAGAAAACCAAATTCGGCAGTTTACCACTTTTGGCCAAGCGAAGCAACTCTTTAGCTCCTTTGAGTCTTTTTTCTTTCTGTTGCGGTGTAAGTTCTTGTACTTTTTGGAATTTCAATGGTTTTACACCGAGCTAATTTTTCAAAAATTTGCCGAATGGAATATTGCGATGTGTTCAGCTCACGAGCCATTTTTCGGTCACTGCGACGCGGGTTCGAACCATTATTGCTGATGTTGCTGTTTTCTATCGTCCACTTCCTTGACATATGTCGGCCTACGCTACCAGAATCACGGTAACGAGCGATGGTACGAGACAAAAAAGGACAGCCACTTGTGGCTTTCCAGCCAAACATAAAAATCACACTATCACGCTTGAATTGTGCTCCCTCACAAATAACCTTTTTTCTGGAAAATTCTCACCAAAATGCTTTTGTACATTTGTAAACAATATAATGAGCTGTCACTGGAATAATTTTAACAGCTTTCGGACGAGTGGCTTAGAAATGACAACAGCCCGAAGTTGGTTGCAGGTTTTTCTTCTCACTCTGTATTGTATCCTCTTCCTCTGTAGCTAGAAACTATGTAAAAACAACAAATATTTAATAACAACATAATTGTGGTAATCATCACTTCCCATGTAATGTCTTAGGGATTTTTTTCTCCATCATAAATTTCATCCAGCCCTTTTTGTCGTCGTTTGTGTTATTATCAACCTCAAGCATCCTTGCCAATGTATTTTTTTTTCACCATCCACAAGATCAACCTTAACTGACCAACTAACTAACAAATAAAGTGAACATAAATAAACTCCACTGGGCGGCAGGGTTGTAAAAATATTCGCATTCATCTGTGAAATTATTTAAAAAGAACTGAGGAGAGCAAAAAAAAAGGCAACAAAATGCGGAGGTACAAGTGCAAAAAATCATGTAAATGGAGAAGAAAAAAAAAAAAAAAACACTGTAAAGAGAACTACTTTCATTAAAGTTGGCTTAAGTTGGTTTGCAGGATGATGATGATGATGATGATGGAAGCAGTTACATTGGTGCAGTGATAATCAGGTGATGTTTTTTTTTTTTTTTTTTTTTTGATTAAAAATGTTTATGGGAGACTACGTAAAATACATTTTTTCTATAGGTGACCTATGGAGGGAGTTTTCCTTATGGAAGACCCGAAGAAGCAGTTTAAGATCGATGGAAGAACTTGTATTTCTAGAAGACCCTCTAGAAATACAAGTTCTGTTGCGGCTTTAGCTATTACAGCACATCTATGCATGTTATGCCACCTATTCAGATTCCTGAATGAGTTAACAAGTGTCAGTCAGTTTTGCCGAAAGATTTATGCCCTCAGCCAATGTTCGATTATTTAAATATATTTTGACTTCTGTTATGATGGTTTAAATGGTTGACCCTCTATGAACTAGATTCCTAAGGAATGAGCCAATATTGTCCATTTCGTTTCGGACCTAAATAAATATGATATAATTATTGCGAAGTTTGGACTATATCGACTACTTCCTTCACTTTAGATGTGATAATTTGTAGAAAAAAATAAAATACGCGTGAGGTACAGTGTGACATAAAAAAAAAAAAATGGCAACCAACTTCAGACTGCTGTCATATCTAAGCCAATCGTCCGACAGCTGTTAAAATTATTCCAGTGACAGCTCATTATATTGTTTACAAGCGCACAAAAGAATTTTCCAGAAAAAAAAACTTATTCGTGATGGAATTCAAGTGGCTATCGTTAGAGCACTCCAGCATTTAAATGTGAATAAATCTTTTGTGTCTCGTTCCATCGCTCGTAATCGTGACACTAGTAGCGTAGCCCGACGTCACGGAAGTGGATGGAAAAAAAAACAGCAACATCAGCAGAAATGGTTCGAAAAGTAAAGAAGCGGCTTGATCGAAAACTGCGTCGAAGTGGCCGAAAAAAGGCTCATAAGCTGAACATATCGCAATATTCCATTCGGCAAATATTAAAAAATGAGCTCGGGGTAAATCCATTGAACTTCCAAAAAGTGCAAGAACTCACACCGCAACAGAAAGAAAATGGACTCAAACAAGCTAAAGAGTTGCCGAAAGTGGTGAACTGTCGAATTTGGAATTTGATTTTCTCCGATGAGAAAACATTTGTTGTCCAGCAGTTTTTAAACAAACAAAATGATCGTCTTTACTTGCCAAAGAGGTCAGCTGAAAATGTGCACCTTCGGTTGGCCACCAGAACTCAGGCGCCGGCCATGGTGATGGTGTGGGCCTTCATAATAGCCGATGGTCGCTCTCCGGTCGTATTAATCAACCGTGGCATCAGAATAAATGCCGAATATTATCGCGAAAATATTCTGGAGGGTGTATTAAAGCCTTGGGCACGCAAACATTTTGGCCGCAGACCTTGGACATTCCAACAGGACTCAGTATCATCGCACTCAGCACGCGACACTCAAGAGTGGTTACAAAATGAGGTTGGTTTATCAAAACTTTGACCCTTTGTGGGGGAAGTAAAAGAAGGAATGGTTCTATCTCTACCATCTTCAAAACAGATCTTGTGTTGATGGAAGTATTGAGATGTGTCAAATCTGAATGGAATCGGATGTTAATTTCGCGTTTTATGAGCTTCATGGATATTGAAAATGTTGACCCTTTTGTGGGGATGTACCAGAAGGAGTGG